TCATACAGTTTCACAGTGGAGGAATCTGCATCATGCATGGAATGGTTTGCATATCCTCCATGTTCCTAAGAAGCAGGAACAACCACATGGAAACCATCACCTAGGACAACTGTGCAAAAACTAATCCTGTCATGGCATCAGTGATGGCTTATAGAGAGAGTCTACCAACTAAAGGCGAGGTCTGAAAGCAGTGGATTATCTCTGCAATTATTTTACTTTCTAAAATCTGAGCTGAAATGCCAAACACACAGGAGTTCCATTTACCTTTTGTTCATACGGATAGGTTTCTCCAGACTCCAGACCTCCGTTATCCTTCACACACTGGAAGGTACCGACTACAGTGCCTCCATGGCAGCCCACATTGCCTTGAGGTTGAGAGCAGTCCACTAGGTTCTGTACACTTAGCTGGACCAGTTTGCCTGTTCTGTTGAACATCTGTCCTTCTATGGCACCAACCGCCCTAAAAGGCCAACAAGGACTACATCTGCTCTGAACAGGGAAGAAAAGATTGTCATCTCCAAACAAATAGCAACTCCAACAACAACATGGACCCTTACATACTTTATCAAAAAATGAGCTATTGGCAGTTGATGCTGCCTTAGGAGGTCACTCTACTCGGCTGCTGGAAGTTGCTCATGCCCCAGTGGATGGTAACACAGACAAGCACATATGGATAGTACCTACCGATCTCTGGAGGTTATTAATGACCAAGAAAGAAGGTGAATTGGGAGGGGGTTCAGATGAGGTGGGGTCTCTGAGGGGAGTAGAAAGGAGAGAGTGGTGGACAGATAGGATCCATACACATTATACAAATCTATGAAACGTTCAAAGAATAAAGAATGTTTAAGAAATGGACTGCATGGTGGTCCACAGTCAACCAAAACAGGATGTCAATGCCTTGTCTCCCCAGGGGCTGAGGAAGAGAGGAGTGTGACGACGTCATACCTGATACCACACAGGATTCACATAGTCTTTCTTTCTCCAATCCACAGATTTGGGGAAATCATCAAGAACCAGACGTTTCTGGATTCTTTTGCCTTTCCTGAGATTTGAGACTGGATGATTAATCATTGTTTCCTTAAATTCCTTACTGGTCTTCAAGGAAAAGTAAA